TCCTCACATTTTGCTGAACAATTTGTGCTTAAAAACAATTAACATAACTACACCACAATTGTCATGTATTCAACAGTATAGTATTGTGTGATTGTCCTTGCTTTGTACTTCACATTGTCCTCACTCTTGGTTCTATGTTTCTCTCTTATCCAAATGGACCCTTGCCTTCTTTCAAAAGCCAGTGGAAAAAGTGGTATCAAAATCATCTGTTTTTTGACATTGTGGTGGCCAACAACACCTCTTTATCCATATCTTTAAAGGTCCGCCCACAGTCAAGTGTTGAAGTTACTTTCATTTTATCACAATTTTTTTTTTCTATTTTAATAGTGAATTATATCAATTTCCTCTATGGCCCAATTGAAGACGTATGATCCCAATCAATAACAGCATAAGCTTAATTAAATGGATAAAAATATAATTTTATAAGGACCCTTGCCTTCTTTCAAAAGCCAGTGGGAAAAGTGGTATCAAAATCATCTGTTTTTTGACATTGTGGTGGCCAACAACACCTTTTTATCCATATCTTTAAAGGTCCGCCCACAGTCAAGTGTTGAAGTAACTTTCATTTTATCACAATTTTTTTTTTCTATTTTAATAGTGAATTATATCAATTTCCTCTATGGCCCAATTGAAGACGTATGATCCCAATCAATAACAGCATAAGCTTAATTAAATGGATAAAAATATAATTTTATAATTTGCACAACATAAATTATATTATCATATTTTTTTTTTTCACTCACATTATATTATATATAACTTACTTCTTATAATCAAATATACATTTTTTTAACTTATCCCCTTAACCACCCCTCATCGTGAAGTAACCATAAAAGGAAACGGTTTGGGGTGATCAAGAGAGGAAGCCACCAGTGGTCGGGAAGAAAGGGAATAGGAGGCAAAGGAAAAAAAGGTGAGAGAGGTGTGGTAGTGGCAGGGAATGAGGGTGGACTTGCATGGGGATGGTGGTGTGAATTAAGTAAATGGTGTTAATTGAAAAAAGAAAAAAATAGAGGTGTGCAAATAAAAATTCGTCTCTCACTTAAATTATCTAAATTTTGAAATGACGCTGTCCATTAAATTAGGCCAGGCGATAATTAATTTGAATAACTATTTTCAATGAAAACACATAAGATGAATTAAAAACTCAAAAGACAAGATAAATAATTTAAATAATAATAATAATAATGGGAAACCAGTCACAGAGGATGAGGCCTACAATCCTACCAGTATTCCTAGTCAGATTCTTTCATTGGTTTTTATGTGTTTGCCATTAATCCTCATGAATTGTCCACTAATAGGAGACTGACATCATATGTGACCCACATCTAATTTGTCATTCCAAACTTCTTTCTTCAATAGCAAGCTTCAATAAAGTAAGTACCTAACCATTGAGCAAGATCCAGAGGTTGGAATAATTCAATTATGCCTACTGCCAAGGGTTCAAAATTTTTGGGCCATGACCAACCCATCAGTTGGGAATCCCATCATTTATCATATGGTCCACATGCATGTAAAGAATACCCTCCAGTGGTTGAAGAAAAAGTTTATTACAAAATCATGAAAAAAAATTAGAATTTTAATTATTAATATTTATAAAAAAAATTATTAATTTATAATTTTTTTTTCTTAAATTTACTGATTTGATATTTCCCCAAAATAATTTGAGGCCTTGGAAGTGACATTCCCCCACTATCCTATATAAGTGATAATGACTCATCTATAATCACACCATATGGGGTTGGGCTTGGTGGGTTCCTCATGTATAGTTGGCTTAAAATTGATAAGTATTCATTTTCTAATTTTTTGATAATTAATTTTTTAATTATTTTATTTCATAAGTATAAACAAAAAATGTACCAACCACTTAGCACAAAATTTTAAAAATTATAAACAATTTTAATAAACAGCACTAAATAATGCTAATATAAGATTACGAGCCTCTTTTTATGAGAAATTATTCAATGTTATCTTAGAGCAAATTCAAGTGATGCATAAAATTATTAACTATTTATTTAAATTATAAGACTTATCATTTTAATATTACAATTTTAAAAAAATAAAAAAAAAATATAAACTAATAAATGAAATGAAGTGTTGCTTCATAGTGGAAGTTGGGTTTTCATCCACTATGGAAGGAAGTTAGGCAGAGAGGACAACCAAGTAATGGAATTTGAAGATCACATCTTAGGTTTCTTCTTCTTCAACAAGTGTTCTCAAATAATGCAAGTGGTGTCTTTATGGCTATTAATTATCTATGAGATCAGTAGCTAATATGATTCATGGTATATAAGTAGGCCTGAGCTGCTTTAAAATTGGAAAAACCAAGCAGACCAAGCAACTCAGAGGCTGTCCCATGCATGTTATGTTGTGGCTCAGATTGCACTATCACTTCCTTTATTAAAAGAAAAGAATCAGCTATCACTTGCTTACCAATTTTTAGCTCCAAATTGCTAAATTTAGGATCAATCGAAATAGAATGACTATACTTTCTTATCACATTATATGTGTAAATATATTATGTAGAATAAATATGAATGGTAGGATTTATTGTAATATTATAATATTAACACGTGAAATATAAACAAAATATAATAAGAAAAAATATTATCATTAACATTATTGATAGAGTAATATTATGACTGTTCAAGAATCATTTGATGTTGCTCTTGACAATTGATCATAATTGAAAGATTTAATCTATAACATGTATAGATAAAAGGAAAGAATAAATTGTGTATTGATAGATGTATGTTATTCTGTATATTACAAGGAGATGTGCACTCTCTTTTATAGAGAGGAAAAGATACATAGGGTGTCAATTAGCACCGAAAGCATAAAGCAAATGGGGAACACTCATTATGAAAGCTAGACATAATGATACACTAACAATTATGACTAACTCTACTAGATGTACACTAATATACTAACATCACTAATATACAATAATATACTAACAATAATTTATACAACTCCTACAAATAAAATGGATAAGGTATGTTGATCTTCCTAGAGATTTGGAGGAAAAAAAAATTAAATCCAACTAATTTTGCATAATTACATATATTATTATACTTTTTGTTTAGTTTTGTGTCTATACACCATCTAATACAACAATTTTTAATTTTTTTTTATAGACTTACTTCATTTTTTCCCCTATTTTTTCTCTTTTCACTTCTATCCCTACTATTCCAAGATCTAAAATCAACCTAAGCACGGTAGCTAATCTGCCTCATTAATTCACAATACATAAAATAATTACTAAAAACACTACCTACGAAAGTACAAGAAATTATACCATAAGTTTAAAACACAACCCTAACAGTGTGCTTAACGAATAAAGATACAGAAAAATAAAAAATAAAAAAAGGAATCTCTATTATCTACGTGGATAAGGTGATTAGTAACCTATTTTGAACAATATTAAAAATCTAAAAAAGTTTACATAATATTCATGTAATAGGAGACTGACATCATATGTGACCCACATCTAATTTGTCATTCCAAACTTCTTTCTTCAATAGCAAGCTTCAATAAAGTAAGTACCTAACCATTGAGCAAGATCCAGAGGTTGGAATAATTCAATTATGCCTACTGCCAAGGGTTCAAAATTTTTGGGCCATGACCAACCCATCAGTTGGGAATCCCATCATTTATCATATGGTCCACATGCATGTAAAGAAATAAAAAGGAAAAGCACAAACTAACAAAAAGAGTAACAGTACAAACCAAACCATTCAAACAGGACCTTTAACCATTCTATATTTTTTTAATTCAAATTAAACTAATAATATGTTAATAATTTATATTTTAAAATTATGTCAATTTTTTTATAAAATTGTGATTCGCTAATCATTTTTTTTTACTTAATATAAGATACTGTTTGTACTACTATTTTTTTTAACGATAATGCTATGTAGTTCAAATTTTGTGGCTCAAAAGTGGCTTAAATGGCCAAAACGACGTCGTTTTGAGTACAGAACAACATAAAAATAGCCAAAACGACGTCATTTTGACCATTTGAATCACTTTTGAGCCACAAAATTTGAGTTAATTACGAGACATTTTCCCTTTTTTAATCCTACTACGGGATATAATTTTCAACCGTCTACTCATAGTATAAGAGTTAGATTCTTCATTGTAAGTAGACAGTAAAATACGGTGTGCTCCTACTTTTTTTTATTTATTTGTTTATACTCATTCAAAACAAAAAAATTGTAGTCATGTTTTCTGTTTAAGGTATAATATTATTTGAACAAATACTTTTCTATTCTATCTTAAAAAAATTGATATTTTTTGAATGTTTATATTCAAATAAAAATATTATATTAGTGGCACGTTTTTATTTAACATAGAAAATAATCTCAACTATTATTTTTTTAACTGTTCATATTCCAGTAAAAAATATTACAATTTTTTTTATTAATAATAAAATTTTTATAATTGTTAATTATTTTAGAAAAATTTTAATGTATTCTATATACACTCTTAATTATGTCATTTTCTTATTTATTCTATACACACACAAATAAAATTAAAAAATTATTCATAGACTACAATAAATCAGAAATTTCGGATATATTTGACTAACCAACCAACAGCCTAATTATATTTGACTAACCGAGTGAGATTTTAGTTTTTTTTTTTAATTCATAAAAAAATAAAATAAAATAAATTAATTAGTAAGATAAAATATCATATTAAATTCATAATTTTTTTTTTTCACAAATATCACATTTAATTGTAAAAAAATTAATTTATCTTTTAAATATAAAAATTTTAATTTATTAAAATAATTAAAAATTAAAATAACCTATTAAAATAATAGGTTTATATGCAATCCGGACTCCTCTAGTACGGCAGTTTCGGATTCAATCGTGGACACTCTACAGCCCTTAGATCCACCACGTGGCCACATCCTATACAAAACCTACTCGAACCGAATATTCTATAAAACATTCCTTAGAACTCCACTCCTATAAGTAAACTGGAATTGTAGACAGAGAATGTGTGATAGAAACAGAAATAGAGAAGAAAAAACAAGAGAGGAATGAGCGACGCATTGAACAGAGACTACCGTTTGTGCGAAGAGATCGGACGGGGACGATTCGGGGTCGTTTACCGGTGCTACTCATCGGAATCTGGCGACTCCTTTGCCGTCAAATCCATCGACAAGAGTCTTATTGCCGACGACTCCGTCGATCGCCAATGTCTCTACAATGAAGTCAAGGTCATGCAATTGCTTTCTCCAAACCCTAATGTCGTTCAAATCTTCAATGTCTATGAGGACGACGATCACCTTCACATCGTCCTCGAGCTCTGCAACTCCTCCGATCTCTTCCAACGCGTTGCTAATCGAGTGTGTTCTGAATCTGAGGCGGTTGCGGTGATGGTGCCGTTGATGGAGGCGATCGCGCACTGTCACCGGAGAGGCGTGGCTCATCGGGACATCAAGCCGGACAATATTTTGTTTGATGAGTGGGAAAGGCTGAAACTGGCTGATTTTGGCTCGGCGGAGTGTTTTAGGGAAGGGGAGTTGATGAGCGGAATCGTCGGAACGCCGTACTACGTGGCGCCGGAGGTTCTGGCTGGGAGAGAGTACAGCGAGAAGGTCGATGTGTGGAGCGCCGGTGTGATTTTGTACATAATGTTGGCTGGAATCCCTCCTTTTTACGGCGATTCGGCAGCCGATATCTTCGAGGCGGTGCTACGCGCGAATCTCAGGTTTCCGACTAGGATTTTCCACTCGGTTTCGTCTGCGGCGAAGGATCTGCTGAGGAGGATGCTCTGCAAAGATGTTTCTAGAAGATTCTCCGCCGAGCAAGTTCTTCGTAAGTTTTCAGACTTCAATTTTTAAGCAATTGTTTTTGATACGCCATGAAATCTGAGCTTGAAGTTTTCTCAACCTGATAATAACTAATTTTCAACCCTTCAAATTTGTTACTTTCGAGTCAGTATTTTCAGTTGTAATCCTTTTCCCCCAGTAATTTACATTATTTTCCTGTTTGGTTGATAAGGAAGTAGGGGAAAAGTAATGAGGAAATCACTCTGATCTATTTTTTCTTGATTTTATCTCTTTCAGTTGATTGTCATTGTAGTTTTAATCTCTGTAAATTGGTACAGAAAATTGAAATCAGTCCGAATATATGAATTACAGTAATGTGCTTGTGATTTTCCTGTTATGCGAAAAATCAAATATCTGGAATCAGATCTAGATTCTAACGCCAATAACAATATTAACAAAATTCACGGAATATAGCTTAAACTTTATTATCATGTTATTTAAGCTAATTACCTAAACTGCGGTTACTTAGTTGTTTTCTTTTTTCAACGCTCTGTCCATATTTTACTGATTGTGGTTTTGCTTTCGTTTTGTGTGTTTGGTTACAGGGCATCCATGGATGACCACGGGCTGAGATTCTACATCACTGGGTTTTCTAGACTTGAAACAACTCTGCTATATATATAGACTGCATAGGAAATTCTGTAGATTCTGAAAGCGGAGTTTCAGGGGTTTTTTTTTTTTTTTTCTTCGCTTGATCTAGTGTAAAAAACGATGCAGATTAGAGTGTTAGAGAGAGTTAGAGAAGGTTTCTGGTGCCATATGATATGTAAATTGCTAAGACGTTTGCTGAATTTTCTCGAGTTAATCTTTTGATCTTTTATATTGGCTGAATATCCTCGAGTTAATTTTTTATCTTTTGTCAATGTTTTGCTCTATCTGTTTATCTATAGAATCAATCCACTTATCTCAAGTATGATATGGTTTTAAAAATAAAAAAATAAAGAAAGATGTATTACCAATAGTTCTAATAAAACGGAATCGTTGCTAATTTTTTTATTATTATTATATATCGTTAAAAATTAATAATTATTAATCGGGATTGTTTTTTTAGAGTCCTTGATATTAAGATGTTATAGCATAAAGGATATTTAATATTTTCATAATATCTAGGGTCCCTCAACATTGGTCTAGAGAAATTTCAATCCAGGAAAATTCTGTCCAGAGAAATTCGCTCCAAAGAAATTCTGGACTTCCCAAAGAATTTCTCTGGGTTCAACCCAGAGAAAATTCAAATTTCTCTGGGTTCATTTTGACCAATTTTCTCTGGTTTCAAAATTAAATTCAAATTTCTCTTGGTTCATTTATAAATTAGAGAAAATTTAAATTTTTCTAGATTCATTTTAACTAATTTTTTCTGTATTACAATATCATTTTATGAAATCATTTTGACAAACCTTAGACCAATTTCTCTGAGTTTAAATTCAAATTCTTCCTCCAGAGAAATTCTTTGATAGCCTTCATCATCATCATCATCATCATCTTCTTTCTACATCAAATAAGTAGCTATAGTAGCACCATGAAAGCCATATAAGCAAGAGCACTTTGATAGTATCAACACAAATACACAACATGACAAATGATTAACTGGAGGTAGCATGAGGCAATAACAAAGCTTCTAGAGAAATTTGAACAACCCAAAGACCTACCAGAGAAATTTGAACAATCTAGAGAAATTCTCTGGTCCAAACCATTGCAAGGTTTATATTCTTAAATCTGTTGTTTAATTAATAGTTGGGGTTGATTTATTCAAATGGTTGTTGTTGTTGAAGGCAGAGAAAATAGTAAACAAATCAAAGAAAATTTTATGTAAACCAGAGAGAATTTTTTTAGTTTGGAGAGAATATCTCTAGTTTGGACCAGAGAAATTCAAAACTAGATGGTTGTTGTTGTTGTTGTTGAAGGCAGAGAAAATGATAAGGAATTTCTCTGGATATCTACAAAGCTGTATCCTCATGGGAAGCCACTGATCTTTCTCTCATATTTGGATTTTCGATTTCTAAATTCTTACACTAACAAACACACTGCAGACACATCCATTGACAGAAAACAGGCTGAGATGGTGGCAGTACAGGTTGCATTAGAAAAACTTCGTCAGCGAGATTGGTTGCTTACAACTGAAAACGAGATGTTCAAGGTGAAACTCTTATTTATTTTATTGTGTATGTAGGTAACAAAGTCTTTATAAAAATATGGATTTTTTTTTCCGTTTATTATTCCTGATTAGGACTACTTGCTTTTGATTTGTGTAGATGGAAAATGTTAATCATGAGAAAAGGGTAATGGAACTTGAAACTGAAGTAAAGAAGTTGTCTGGCCAGCAAAACCTTCAGCAACGGATCGATCATCATACCAAAATTAAGGCAAGATTCAAATATTTTTGAATTTGGAATTACTATACTTTCGGTGGTCTCAAGTGGATAGTAACTGGTTTGGATGATGTCTTCGGCTTTCGGTGGTCTCAAGTGGATACTACTTGAACCGTCGGAGAATAGAGATCTGACAGTTCAAGTACGTTGCTGGTGTGGCCTCACTTGAGACTTCAAACGGACGGAAGCATCAGCCGGAGTGCTAAGGAATGCTGGTGGTGTAGGCAGGCTCCTTACTGGTGTAGGGTATATAGGTGCTTGATAACCATTCCATTCCAGATTTGAGGAAGAAACCCCTTGGGTTGGTGAAAACATCATTAGAACAAAAGGAACGGTAGTCTCATTCAACACTCTCGGTGTCGACCAAGATGAAATAGTTGGTTGACTTTGCCCATCTCTTCTCTCTAGGGTTTCAGAGAGAGGGAGAGAGAGAGAGATTGAAAGTGCTGCTCTGCAGTAGAGGATGAGAGATAAATAGTCAAATTTCTCTGATATATGTTTAGAGACCTTAGACATCAAAAAATAATATTGTGGAAATCTTCCATTATTAAAAATGGGAGAGGGACCTTAGACTAATTTTTCCTTATTAATTTTGTCATGATTTTTATAATTGTTGTTAAAATTTATAATTAATGACATTTTTTTTGTAATGAATTTTTTAAATTGTCATTGAAAGTTAGAAATTAGTGATTTTTTTTGTGATAATTTTTTTTAAACAGTTGCTAAACTTAAAATTAATACTTTTTTATGATAAAATTTTTAAATCGTCATCAAAAATTAAAAATTTGTGATTTTTTTAATAATATTTAATTAAAAAATACCATTAATTATGGTATGAACTATACGGAATTTCCAAAAAAAAGCATGATATGAAATTAAAAACAAGATTTTGTTTAAAAAAAACCGAAATAAAATTCTAGAAAGCACAGCTTGTTTGGTTTTGATTTTTAGAAAAATTTACTTTTTTTATTTTTTGTTTTTTAATGTTTTTAATTAATGAATTTTTTTAATATTTTAAATAATTATTTTTTAATTTTTAGACACATTTAACTAGATACATCTAAGTAAGGTGCATCTAAAAAAATAAAAAAAATTATTTTCACTAAAAATAAAAACTACGAAAATTAAAAAACTTAATTTTTAAAAAATTGAATTTAATAAACTGAAACCAAATACATTTATGATTTTTGGGAAATATTTTTAAGTTGGTCTCCGAATTCTTTTAAAAATATTTTTTAAAAGTAATGAAAGTGAAATTGTCAGGTGAAGTATCTTGTTCGGCAGGATGAATATAAATGTATTTATTTAAATAATTGTTATGTCATATTATTTCTCTATTTTTGTGTACATTATTTCGTAATAAATTAAAAAATATATTTATATCACTTTTTTATTTATTTTTTTTATACTTTTTTTTATAAAAAATTAAAAAATATATTTATTTATTTCAAAGAAATCTCTTATCGGAAGAATCCGACAGAGTTAGGTCCCTGTCCATGCTGAATGGAAGAGTTTGGGAAAGCGTGAAGACGAAGCAGAGGGCCACATCCTTAATTATTCTAGGTTTCTTTTTGTTAAACCAATTAAGGGCTATTTTGGAAACTTGGTTAAAAGTCACTTTTTTTTTGTTAGTAGTAAAAGTTAAAAGTTGACTTTTTTGGCTTTTTTTTTCATTTGGCAAGTTGGTTTTTAGCCAACGGTGAAATTACAATTTTACCCCTCATGGGTCACAATGTGTTACATAGGTTTAGTTGTAAATATTTTAAATAAATGGGGGTAGTTTAGTCATTTTATTATGATTTGACATCATAAACAAATATTAATCAAAAAAGTCAAAAGTCACTTTTTACCAACTTCCCAAATCATTTGTCTAAAAAAGCCAAAAGCATATTTTTTTTTTATAAAAAATTAAAAAATATATTTATTTATTTCAAAGAAATCTCTTATCGGAAGAATCCGACAGAGTTAGGTCCCTATTCATGCTGAGTGGAAGAGTTTGGGAAAAGCATGAAGACGAAGCAGAGGGCCACATCCTTAATTATTCTAGGTTTCTTTTTGTTAAACCAATTAAATCTTGTATTGCATTTTGATGATTTGCGAATAAAATTAGACAAATCTAATGGTGATATCTATTTTTTAAGGCATGTTATTTTTAAGCAGTGAAAAATATCTAAGATTCACAACAAAAAAAAATATACATTTATAATAATGTGATGCGATAGATGGTAGACATGTTAACATTTTAATTTGTTTATACACTCTATTATGAAATATTTGTCTTTTTTATCATATCATTATAAATAAATTTTAAATTTAAATTTTAGATCTCTAATAATTTTTCTTAAACAATTTAATCCCAAACAATCAAAATTAAAATAAATAATTCAAACAAGTTGCATTACTGACACGTAATTCCTCATTATTATGTACTATATAAGTATATTTTTTGACATTTTAACTAAAAAAATAGAGAAAAAATATATACGTTTAACATAACTTTTTAATTTTTTATAAAAAATGTAATAAAATATTATAATAAATATCAAAATTACCGTTTTATCCTTCTACACGCAGTAACACTATTGAGCTTTCTGTGTATTTCAAAAAAAAAATTATTTATAGAATTTGTGATTTATACTGTGCCACGTCAGCCGCATTTGAGGAAATGCAATGCAAAGTGTCATTCCATTTGACGTCATTGCTTGTGCAATGCAATGCATAGTATGAGTTATGAGGCATAGCCTTCTCGTCCAAACAAGACAAGAGTACGAATTTTTTATATTTTTTTTTGTGACTTTTTTATTTTTAGACAAATTACATATACCCTTCGAAATTTGATTAAATTACAGATACTCCTTGAGGTTTTAAAAATTACAAATTCTCCTTCAAATGTTATAATTGCATAACAAATTAAAAAGTAATTTGTTATGAAATACAAACTTCAGCGACAAATTGTTACGAAAATACAAACCTCAGGGGCGGAATGTAATTTCCGAAACCTCAGGAAAGTATCAGTAATTTAGCTAAACCTTGAAGGAGGTATGTGTAATTTGCCCTTAATTTTTTTGTTTTTTTTAATTGATACCAAACAAGGACTAGGAGTAGTAGTAAGTTTTCAGAGTTCGTTTGGGAAGTTGGGATTTGAGATTTAAAAAAAAAAACAAAATAAGTTTATTATTTTAATAAGACAAAACATTACATCTGATTCATAATCATTGTATTTTTTCTTTTATAAAAAGTCAAAAATTCAAAAAGTTCTTTCCAAACAAGACTTTTTAGCCCGAGACTAAAATAGTCAAAAAGTTTGGGTCTGCTTGGCAAGGAGGTTTGGAGCTATTTTAGCCACAAAAAACAAAATAGGTTATTTTAGCCACAACAAACAAAACATCACATTCAACCCATAATCATTACACTCTTCTCTCACAAAAAAAGTCAAAAAAGTCAAAAAACTATTCCCAAACCAAG